ATATATGTATATATATATATGTATATATATATATGTATATATATGTATATATATATATATATGTATATATATATATATATGTATATATATGTATATATATATATATATGTATATATATATATATATATATGTATATGTATATTAGGAATGCACAATATTGGATTTTTGGCTGATGTCCGATATGTCGATATGTTAAAACTTATTTGTCTGATAACCGATATTTTTATATACTTTCCTTTGTCAGAATATAGCTCTCTTATTTAGGTTTATTTGCTACAAAAATTGTGCATCAACTGTAAGAGCTGGTGACATATATTCAGTAACAGCCATATGGTATGTATAGCACTTTAACTTATATTAATGAAAAGTGTTAAATGTTATTTATTAGCATTAGTCACCTGTGATGCTGACTCACTTGTGGAGGCTTGTTCCAGGTTCCTAGCTGCAGTGTGGGATCCTCTGCACTCCTGTGCATGAAGGACAGACTTTTTAAGTTCAAAGTTTTTGTCTGTCCATTGTGTCGTAAGACTAATCATGCTAACGGGGCTAACACGACGTCCAAATGTCTGTGGTAAATCTCACCCAACAAGTCGTGCTATCAGCTATTAGCTTCTCAATGACGTCAGAAATGACAGCTTTTAACTCGAGGAAGGTTAAGTTGGAAAAATATCTCAGACTGGGGACGATGTAGTGAGGCTCAACGTAGTCCATAAATCTTCAGACTCTGACATCCTCACCAACGAAAAATAAAACTTTCACACCACCAACATTTTGAATTTTCCTCTCCGCCCTGAAATCGGGTACGTGCACGTGACGTCATCATGTTGCGCTGCCGCTGCAGGCAAAAACAGTGCCTTTTATATCGGTGAGTTATTTTAATGGGATGGTCGATGTCCAATATTGAACTTTAACGCTGATATCGGCCGATACCATGCCGATAATATCGTGCATCCCTATATATATATATATATATATATATATATATATATATATATATATGAATACTAAAATAAACTACTACATACTACTTGTACTATTCCTACTTCACAGTTTTTCACTTACTGTGAGGCTTCAGGGTACAGATCCCCAGTGATAAGGGACTACTATATTGTATGTGAAAATTGACCGCCCCTATAATTTGAGGAAACTATGCTTTCTAGTTTTAATATTCCTTAAATGTATAATTTACTCAAAAGATTGTGGTGGCCGAGGATTATTTGATGGTAGCCAAGGCCACCACTGGCCACACCCTGGCTCCTCCACTGCACCAGGTAGTGGATAAAATCAAATAAAATGGTGTTTTCTCTGTGTCTAATGTTGTTCTTCTCTCCTGTCAGGGCGTTGAAGAGGGCATCTACACGGTGAGTTTGTCTCCACGTGTTGAACTTGAAGTCAAATGTTTTGGTGATGTTCTCCTCCTCCCCCCTCAGGGTCTGACTCCTCACACTGCTGACACATATGAAACCATTGGCATGAAGAAGTAACTCCACAAACGTCCACTTCTCTTTAAACTCCTTCATTATTTCAACTTTTTTTTTTTGTTGTATTTAAATTATTCTCTCTGCTGTCGTCCACCACCGTTTGTTTCCATCTGCTTTTAGAAGCTTTTAGTTTTTAGAAGTGCAAAATGCTTATAAATAATTAAATATATATGAAAATGTGCCAAACCCAGACTGCTGCAAATACTTCCTTTTTCAGGGTAAAGAGACAATAGATACCTCTGAGAAATAATGCAGACATCGTGCATCGTTTATGTACATTTATCACCTGCTACTGGAAGACAGAAGGCAAGCAATACTGTATTTATCGAACTATAAGGCACACTGAAAATCCTTTAATTTTCTCAAAAACCAACAGTGAGCTTATAATCTGGTGCACCTTATGAATTAATTCTGGTTGTGCTTACTGACCGCGAATCAATTTTATTCAATTCAATTAAAAAATACTTTATTAATCCCAAAGGGAAATTATTTGTTGTTGTAACTTGTTATCCTAGTTTCATTAAGAGATGTTATAGATAGTGATGCTGTAGACAGGAAGGATCTCTTGTAAAGGTCCATCCCACAGTGGATCCTAAGAAACTGGCTGCAGATGCTGTCCGATCCGTCCACCCAGACTCGGCTGGCCTCTCGGTTCCCCCGAACTGTAGAACCTCCCGAATGCAGGGCTGAACTCCTCCCAGAGTGATGGCTACTCCTTCCAGCAGTCTGCCAAGCTGCCAAGCTCCTCGTCGTTGCGAACAGCCAACTGTAGGTGCTGAGGGACGATCCTGTCCTTCCGCTGTCACGAGCCGTGTTTCCGCTAGTTACAGGATCTCAGTGGTCAGGAACTTGAGCACAGCTGGCAGGTAGATGAGAATGCATCCACAGGACATCCTTTTCAACTCATTTGAGATTTGGGGCTGTAGTTGAGATATTATTTGAGCTTTTGAGATGTTAATCAGCTGCTGTTGGTTGTAGAAAACTGCCTTGTTGCCATGGTTACGCATCATAACAAATGTCCAAAACTAAAAAAAGTTTCAGTAAAAATCCTTCCAGCTGCACAGCATCTGATACCAGAGGAAACAATCATCCAAAAAATGTGATTTACATCCAGAAAAAGAGGAATTAATTTTTCCAAAAGCAAAATCTCAGAATGAACGGAACAGAGCTGCTCCAACATGCAGCCACCTTGAGCGGCACAATTCTAGAACGTAATAATAATGTATTATGTGGTACAACTGAACAATGTTGAGAGTTATTGTGAATGAGTTAATAAAGTTTGACTTATCTGACTGTTTTCTTTTACTTAATGCGCCTTATAATCGAAAAATATGGTAATGTTTCTGTTTTTCTGTCAGAAAAATATCTCATGAACAACTGGACAGCTTGTAGTGAAAAGTTTAGAAAGTAATCATTGGGTGCACATTAACAACTGATCCACTTTTAGAGACAACCTAATATGGCCGCCACAGTAGACTGACCTTAAAAACACAAAAATGTCTAGAATTCAGTCAGTTTTAAAACTGTTTAGCTAAAGCTCGTTATGTTAGTAGCTGAAAGTCATCCACAACACATACTCTGAGAGAAAGTGCCTAAAATATTTGAAGGTTTGACTGAAACGGCTAAAACCCAGTTTTTCTCCATCATTAGATGTTCTCAGTTGAAAACTTTAGCATGGAGGGCAGAAGGAGACACACATTCATTCAAGGAATGCTGGGACTATTATCCTATCAGATATTTGCTTTAAGTTTAATTTTTTGTGTTCTTGAAGGGTAGAAAATCCCAAAGTTCAGTCTTTAAAGTTTAGATTTTATATTTTCTATAAAACCACATGATGGTGGATGGTGTGTGTGTTTGTGTGTGTGTTCATTAAAGATAGAAGTCCTGAAGCTGTTTTATGTAAACAAAAACTTATTAAAGCTTTCACATTTATACTAACAATAAAAAACATATGTGACTTAAATGAGAGCCGTGTTTTCATATCTCTCATCTGAAGCTCCTCAACTTCGACCACACGGTTTATAAAAACAACAGTTTCCTGTTGGTGGTTTCACATTTCTGGCTCAGTTTGTTATCACTTAATATGTCAGATCAGATCAGACTTGTATAGAAACTACAGGTGTGTGAGAAACTCATTTTCATTTTGTAAGTTCATGCTTTGATGTTACAAGTTAAAAGGTGGTGTTTGAAGATGGGACCTAAAGGTTTTGACTTACTGAAAAATTGAGTGTCATAAATCTGAGATTTTAACTAAATTCTTATACACTAAATTAAAATCTACATAACAACTACTCGAACATACTTTGTTCTAATAAATTTTAATTTTAAGAAACATATCTGGAGGTTATGAATATAACCAATGTTCCCTGAAGGAGGGAAATGAGGTACAACACACGAGTATATGGACTGTGCTCTCAGAAGACCAACCTGAAGACTTTACTTCCAACAGGCCCATCAGTCTGAATGAGACTGCTGCAACGTGTACGGCAGAAAATATGGTATACTCAAAATCTCCATTTCCCTTTTTTGGCGGTATACAGGGTTCAATGCAAGAGTATTGCAACCCACAATCATGCCCCCAAAATATGTATACATAGAATTGGGATAACTTAAGCCTCCAGTATACTTAGGTATACAAACCGGATTCCAAAAAAGTTGGGACACTAAACAAATTGTGAATAAAAACTGAATGCAATGATGTGGAGATGCCAACATCTAATATTTTATTCAGAATAGAACTCAAATCACAGATCAAACGTTTAAACTGAGAGAATGTTTCATTTTAAGGGAAAAATCTGTTGTTTCCAAATTTCATGGCGTCAACAAATCCCAAAAAAGTTGGGACAAGTCCATTTTTACCACTGTGTGGCATCCCCCCTTCTTCTTACAACACTCAACAGACGTCTGGGGACAGAGGAGACCAGTTTCTCAAGTTTAGAAATAGGAATGCTGTCCCATTCATGTCTACTACAGGCCTCTAACTGTTCAATCGTCTTGGGCCTTCTTTGTCGCACCTTCCTCTTTATGATGCGCCAAATGTTCTCTATAGGTGAAAGATCTGGACTACAGGCTGGCCATTTCAGTACCCGGATCCTTCTCCTACGTAGCCATGATGTTGTGATTGCTGCAGAATGTGGTCTGGCATTATCGTGTTGATAAATGCAGAGTCTTCCCTGAAAGAGATGACGTCTAGATGGGAGCATATGTTGTTCTAGAACCTGAACATAGTTCTCTGCATTAATGGTGCCTTTCCAGACATGCAAGCTGCCCATGCCACAAGCGCTCATGCAACCCCATACCATCAGTGATGCAGGCTTCTGAACAGAGCATTGATAACAACTTGGGCTATCCTTGTCCTCTCTGGTCCGGATGACATGGCGTCCCAGTGTTCCATAAAGAACTTCAAATCGTGACTCATCTGACCACAGAACAGTCTTCCATTTTGCCACACTCCATTTTAAATGACACCTGGCCCAGTGCAAATGTCTGAGCTTATGGAGCTTGCTTAGAAATGGCTTCCTCTTTGCACTGTAGAGTTTCAGCTGGCAACGGCAGATGGCACGGTGGATTGTGTTCACTGACGATGCTTTCTGGAAGTATTCCTGAGCCCATTCTGTTATTTCCTTGACAGTGGCATTCCTGTTTGAGGTGCAGTGACGTTTAAGGGCCCGGAGATCACGAGCATCCAGTAGAGTTTTACGGCCTTGACCCTTACGCACAGCAATTGTTCCAGATTCTCTGAATCTTTTGATGATGTTATGCACGGTTGATGATGATAACTTAAAATACTTTGCTATTTTACGCTGAGTAACACCATTCTGGTTTTGCTGCACTATTTTTCTGCGCAACAATGGTGGAATTGGTGATCCTCTTACAATCTTGGCTTCTGAGAGACACTGACACTCTGAGAAGCTCTTTTTATACCCAATCATGTGTTCAATTGACCTAGTTAGTGTTAATTGGTCTTCCAGCTGTTTGTTATATGTTCAATTTCCTTTTTCCAGCCACTTATTGCTACTTGTCCAACTTTTTTGGGATTTGTTGACACTATGAAATTTTGAATCAACATATTTTTCCTTTAAAATGTTACATTTACTCAGATTAAACTTTTGCTCTGTCATCTATGTTATATTACGAATAAAATATTGACATTTGCCATCTCCACATCATTGCATTCAGTTTTTATTCACAATTTGTTTAGTGTCCCAACTTTTTTGGAATCCGGTTTGTACTTGAGTATGTGGAGGTCAGCGTGTATCGGATTAGAGTCAAAGAGGACGCCCGCAGGGTATGTCTATGCAAAGCTCAATTTTTACGACCGCGTACGCCTCCTTGAATTGCCACCTTATCGTGGTGGAGGAGTTTATGCACCTGAATGATCCTAGGAGCTATGCTGTCGGGGGCAATTATAATTGTCCCTCCTCAACCTCCCTGGTAAGGTCTATTCAGGGGTACTGGAGAAGCGAGTCCAATCATTGGTCAACCTCAAATCCAGGAGGAACAATGTGGGTTCTATCCGGGCCATGGAATACTGGATCAGCGCTTTACTCTCACTAGGGTCCTCGAGAGGGTCATGGGAGTTTGCCCATCCTGTCTACATGTGTTTTGTGGACTTGGAGAAGACATTCGACCGTGTTCCTTGGGGTTCACTGTGGGGGGATGCTCCGTGAGTATGAGATTGGGGGCCCGTAGCTACAGGCTGTTCCGTCTCTATACAAGAGGTGCGAGAGCTTGGTTTGCATTGCTGGCAGTAAGTCGGACCCCTTCGGGATGGGAGTTGGAATCCGCCAGGGATGCCCGTTGTCACGATTCTGTTCATAACTTTTATGGACAGAATTTCTCGGTGCAGCCAGTGGGTGGAAGGTTTCCGGTTCGGTGGCCTCAGGATTCTATCTCTACTTTTTGCAGATGATGTGGTCCTGTTGGCATCATCATGCTATGATCGTCAGCTCTCACTGGAGCGGTTCACAGCCGAGTGTGAAGCGGCTGGGATGAGAATCAGCGCCTCCAAATCTGAGGCCATGGTCCTCAACCGGAAAAGGTTGGATTGCTTTCTCCAGATTGAGGGTGAGGTTTTTCCTCAAGTGGAGAA